AGTGAAAAGGTACGTCTTAAAGATGGAATAAATTTATTTGAATTCTTTATCGGTAAACTAGATAACGCTTGCAATCTGTTAAGGTAAAAATTTTGTGAATATTTATGAATTTTCACGATGTTTAGAAAATTTTTTCGTTGGGTCACAGTCAAGTTCATATTCGCTTACGAAATTGTGACATCCTGTTTATATATATATATATATATATATATATATATATATATATATATATATAATATTTGTAAGTTTTAACATTTTTTGAAATTAAATATTCAAAGATAGACAAACAAAAAGGATATATGTACAAAACGGATATCACGATTATTTCTTTCGTTTTTATTTTCTATTTAATAAGTCCTAAAACCATTCCCTTTCGGACATAATAAGTAATAACTTTTCTGTTCTCTACTATCCGTTATTGTTGTCATCGTGCTATGTGAGCTGTGATCTCAAGAGTAGAATTTTTTAATTTGTAGATTCTTACTGCGCTGTATCTAGTGTAGTATTTTTATTAAATCTAATTTATTGTCTTTATTTATTATCAAATGTTCTATTTATAACACTTACAAATTTATTAAAGTCTTTATTAAAATATTCACTAATTTATCACAATATTTATTTCCGCGTACTATTTCGATCTAAAAACTCGACTTCATATTCAAAAACAAGGTTCCTCTATATTTATACTAAATACAGTTAATCGAGAATTCCGGCGATTCCCTTTGATCAGACTCTAAGGTCACTCGGACTGGTTTTTAATTCGACCTTCTTCTGGAAACTTAGAATCGTAGGATACCGGTCTGAAATTTCTGCCGGCTAATTCTCATTGGAGGGTCGGACAATCTAGAACATATCAGAATTAAAAACAATGCTTATGCGACATATTTATCGTAACACTAGTAACGCCGTGCGTGGTAGCTGCTGGGTAAATTGAGTAGCTCTGTAACTATGAGTGCCGGTCGTAAACCCAAATAGAGGAGGAGGTTTTGCATCAGGAAGGGCATCCGGCAGTAAAAACCATGGAAAGGAATGTGAAAAATAAGTTTAGGGGCTAGGGCGTTCCCCGTAAGCAAAGCGCAGTTACGGCCTTGCCTTATCCGGTCCGAAAAGTGAGCTAGGGCCCTTAGGGGATGGAAGGGGCCAAAGAAGCTAATCCTGAGAGTTGCAACTCTCAATGTCGGAAATATGACAGGTAAAGAAAAAGAGCTCGTCAATTCTATGCAAAGGAGATTAATGTACTATGTGCGCAAGAAATTCGTTGGAAAGGTAATAAGTCGAGAGATCTTGGATCTTGGCAAAATAATATATAATAGTTCGAACAGTCACAGCAGAAACGGAGTAGGTATTACTTTGAAGAACAAATGGAAGGAACATCTTGTAAGGCTAACCAGAAGTGATAGAATACTGATTGAACTAAATACAAGTAGTACCAACGTGAACATTATATTGTGCCTACGCCTCACAGGTAGGGTGTGAAGAACAAGAAAAGGAAGAATTTTGGAAGGCCCTTGATTGCCTCGAGATTCCTGTGGACGAAAAGAGTTTAGTTGGAGGTGTTTTGTATGGACATATTGGTGGATAAAGATCGAATAGAAAAAGAAATTTCGAAGGAAATAGTGTGATTGACTTTGCAGTGGCGTGAGATTTGCACGTTATGAAGACCAGTATGTTACCTGTAGTAGCGGGGTAAGGGAAAGGATAGATTTTGTGCGGTGTAGGAGAAGCCAGCTAAAAGAGGTTACCAACTATAATGTGATAAAGAGTGGAAGTTAAATAATTGGGATTTGGCAATAGTCTTTAGAGTACTGAAAGAGGTTGAGGAAAAATATGCTGCAAATGACTCGTAAGAAGTCAACAGTAATGTAATACGAGAGAAAACATCTGGGCAAGGCCCTCTTAGAGACAAAGAAACTTAATGGTGAAACAATAAAGTGCAACGGAAGGTTAGAGAGAAGAAAGGGGAATGACAGATTTAAAGGAAAAGAAGATAAATATATATACAAGAAAGCAAAGATGAAAGCAAAGCGCACTGTAGCTACTGCTAAGGAAAGATCATCTATATAGTTCAATGAAGAGTAGGAAACACCCGAGGAATGAAAAGGTTATACAGCATTGCTAAAGCAATTGACAAGTTATCAAAGGACTTGGCCCACGCGCGACTAATTAAGACTGCGGATGGAAGGGTGTTAAGAACCGATGTTGAAATAAAGCAAACATGGTATGATTACTTTAAAAAGTTGCTAAATGAACAACACCGGTGGAAAGACAGAGGATACGGGTTCCCAAATGAAAAATAGCGAGAGATGAAGTTGTCAATGGGTTAAATAGGATACAGAATGTTAAGACAGAAGAACCTAATGAATTATTGTGGAGGTTTGGAAGGGTCTAGGAGAGGAAGGGGTTGATATTTTGTGGCAAATGATAAGTAGGATATATGAGGAAGAAAGGATGCCTAATGCATGGAGATAGAGTGTGATGGTATCATTGTATAAAGGTAAAGGAAACATTCAAGAATGTTTATTTGAATAAACATTCAGCAACTATAAATTGGTAAAGTTATTGTTGCATACAATGAAAATTTGGGAAAGAATTGTAGAGCGAAGGTTAAGGAAAGGGACATGGAAAGCGAAGGTTAATGGATAGGAGAAACAACAGTTTGGGTTTATGCCTGGAAGAAGGACATCGGGTCCCTTTTTTTGTTTTGAAATAGTTAATAGAGATATACATCGAGAATAAAAGAGAGTGACGTTTGATATTTATAAATCTTGAGAAGGCGTACGACACAGTTCTTAGACAAGGCTATGGAGATATATGACCGAAAGTTTTCCAGTGACCGTTGGTTTGCATCAAAGCTCTTCACTGCATCCTTACCTGTTTAATCTTGTTATGGATGTACTAACAGAGAAAGTAAGGGAGGGGAATCCTTGGTCCATCTTTGCCGATGATATTATGTTAGTAGAGGAGTGCAAAGAAATATTGGAGGAGAAGTTGATAATAAATCTGCATGGTACACACCCGTTATTGTTGTAGCTCTTTTCAATTAATTGAAGAATGAATATCTTTGGCATCCCAAAAACAGCTCGCACATTTCCTACCCCTTGGGTAGTCTTAATCATCTTTATGGATTGCCTTTTTCTCCCCTGCTTTAAGTATTCCTTCGTCTCCGGTATGTAGAACTGAATCCATGTTTCATTAACAGTATTGTATCGGCAAAAAAATTATTCTAATTGCGTTTTATCATTGTCAACATGTTTTAAAATCGGCACCCATTGTCCTGATAACTTTTTCATCCAAATGTTCGTGTATGATATTATATGCACACCAAACTGGCATTTTTTGGAGTTTCTACATGTTAAAATATGCAGAATTTTAAAAATATCATCATCATCTTTGACTCTTCAACCCTGGGTGGGTCTTGATCTGTTCAAGAACTGTCTTCATTCCGCCCCTATCTTTCGCCCTGGCTTTCCAATTTCTGACCCCTAGATTCCTCAAGTCATCTTCGACTTGAGTTTTAAATCTAGATTTTGGCCTGCCTCTTTTCCTGGTTCCTACTGGCTCTTGATATAATCTGTCTTTGGGGGTCTCTAGCCATCTGAGTCTATTAATTTTAATAGACCGGGCAATGTTGAGTTTTTCATAGCATTGATACAACTCAAAATTGTAGCGCCTGCGCCATATTCCGCTTTCTTGTACTCCTCCGTATATGTGCCTAAGTGTTCTTCTTTAAAAACGGCCTAACAGTTCTTCGTCGCTTTTTATTTTTCACTGAGTAACAAAAAACGAATTTTTTTTTAATTTATTAATGTTTGTATTTTGAGAACGATTTCCGAAGTAGAAATTGAAACGTCAATAAACGTATTTTAACATGTAATTGTGGCTTATTCCCATTAAAATAGTAATTAGTTCAATATATACGAAATAGCTTCAGAACAATATTAACAAAACGTTGAACATCCAAAGGCTGGAATATTTTGGCCATGGGTAGGCATTCAGCGAAGGATAACTTTTTAAACAGCATAAACCAGAACCAAATCGCCGCTGGAAGAAGAGTGTAACGTTATAAACGTGACATCTGTATTAATTTACATTTAAATAATTATTTTTTTAATTTCTTTATTAATTCCTTTAACTTCAGTTTCTCTTTTTACCATTTTTTATTTAAAATATTTTAAAAGTAGTTGGCGCCCTCCCCTTCTTCCTCTGTTTTTTCTTTCTCTGTCTTCCTTTTCTCTCTCATTCTGTCCCGTATAATAAATATTCGCCCTCTCTCTTTCTGTCCGGTAGACCAAATATTCTGTTCTGTATTGACAGACAAGCTAAATCCATTGTAGGAACATCCTATAACATCTGTGCTAACTTCATGCAGTCCCCACCTACTTTCTGTCAATCACCTTTAATGGTGGGATTATTTTTTGTTTATAATTGAAATTTATAAAAGAAGGTAGGAATTATTATAAGATTCATTTTATGGTCTTGCAACATTCTCTTGCGTTTATTGGCGGCTTAATTGACGATTTTATTCAAGACCTTATTTTATTGACCATATTGAAGAATTTATTGACCATATTCTTCAAGACTATTGGCGGCTTTAATGACAAATTCAAGAATTTATTAACTACAGCAGCTCACCGATGCCACAAGTATCATCCTCACTAATTGATTGTTAACCTTTGGCAGGGTTGATTATTGTTTTCTATTCTTTTTAATAAATATGATTGGTTACAATTTGTCTTATTTGCTATTAACTACGAACTCAGGTTCAATCCCTATGTTAAGACAAGACGAACTCACCCTTGAGATACTGAGCTAGGCAAGGCATAGACGATAATGGTTGAGGTATTAAGGTTGAGGTATTATTTTTATGTCCGAAACATTCTGGTTATGAAACCCTCGAGCGTGGTGTTGTGGTATCACAAGACATCTGCTAATCTATTCCGAGCTGACAAAAACCTTATTATTCCAACATTCGATAGCAATGAAGGAAAAGAAAACATTTTTTAAACTATATGATATATATTTATGAACTAAATCTCAATACAAGTCACACAAAACTGTTATTGTTTATTTATACAGAACACAAGCTTTTGTAATACAGTCACACTCATCTTTATTATTGATAAATTGTAATAAAAATATCTCTTTTAAATAATAGACACATCAACCGACATACTATTCAATTTAAATAGTGACAACCTAATATATCTGCTAGTTTCATTGACAGGAGTTTATGACACCATCTGCTCATCCATTACCTTCAACATCCATTCTGGATGATGTTTTGAGATACTCTCGATGATGGAATTAACCTGGTAACAAAGGGACTGAATTTGTTTATCCCACTGTGGCAATGTCTCCCGTGCTAAAACAAAAAATAACACATAAGTAAACTGCTTTAATAAATTAACTACTACGCCTGCCAAAGTCACCTTCTTATGTTATAAAATTATGAGAAAGCCTCGGTGGCTTACAAGATAGTGTCTACACAGACATTAAATGAAAAGTAAAAATTTTAAAGTATATCTGTCAGACAGACAGAAAAATAAAAGATCGATACTAAAATTCAATTCTTAACGATTTTCAAACATAAAAATTCATCAGAAATGTCAAAAGTCAAAAATGTCATCCCATCCAATTAATAATAATGAAATGGTCCAAGTTGAAGAAGAGTTTTATGCCACTCTATGATTTCCAAGATGCATAGCTGCAGTTGTTTGTACTTTAATAGAGAATTGATTCTTATGGAGATGCAAATGCAGGAATATATCATTCGCAAAAAGAATTTTTGCATTAAATGTTTAAAAAACTAGTTTAAAAATTAGAAATATTGTTGCAAAATGGCTGGGTTATGTACATGATCAAACAACATATAATAATAGTGGCCTTTGTATGCCAATTAAGCTGGAGACTTTGTTAGGTTTGTACTATTTTAAATAGTTGGTCAGTGTGGTTACAATTTGAAATCATATTTGATGGCACAGCTAGACAAGGAATGTTGTGGGAAGGCAATACAGCAGTATTTCATAACATCACCATAGAAAAGGGATCATAATCTAGATCAACAAGAAAACAAAATAATAAAAAGGAAAAAAAGAAAGACTAATTATGTGTGAATTATGTATTAGACAACATTTTGCAGAACTAGATTCACAATTTCTAAAAAAATATGTATTATTATATACATGTACTTACTTTCAAAATGAACTATCGAATCAATCTGATCAATGTAGCCATTCATTCTACCTTCAGTTATCATTTGGCTGGCAATTTTTTCAGCTTTAGACGGTACAATTTCTAGTAAAGCACCCAACTCTTCAAAGCTTATGTTGTTATACAACTTACTAGCAGATAATAGATTGTGTTCTATTACAGCTCTATCTAAAATTGTGGAACCATCTACTGTAGAAGCTTTTTGATGAGGTTGAAGTAAAGCTTCAAAGTCTCTAAGTTCAGATCTAAGAAAAAACAAAAAAAATCATAATGCAGTCACAATAAATAATTCTATTAAGGACATAAATCTGCAACTTCTTAGAAGTCAGATAAAGTCTGTATAGAATTTTTCATACAAAAATCATTTCATGTCATTTATGACTTATGACATCAGAACCTCACAGCGTTGCCAAAACATCAGAATAGTTAATAAGTGAGGAATTTTTAAAATGTCAACAATTTAAGAATACACTACTCAACTGGATTTTTAAAATGAAGAAAATTTTCAAAATTTCTTTTTCACTTTTCAATAATGTGGAAAATGAGATACATTTAATCCATAATTGGAAGAGATGTAGTAAAGAATCTTGAGAATTTCAAATATTTTTGTTTAACAAAAACTATAATATAATAGAGAAATAAACAGAAAAAATTACTGCTTTTTGTAGTAAATAGGATTTCAAGGAAATAATAAAAATAATTTTTGTCATGTAAAGTGTTTTTTAAATAACATTTTTACCTCCTAATAATCCTTTCAAGATACATTTTCTCCAAAATTCCAACAGCAGGCAACTGCTGGCACCTTTCATCTTTGAACAGAGTAGCTAACATCCTCGACCTTTGCTGTCCTGCCGAGGCCAAAACAGTACATACCAAAGCATTCCTCAAAGCTGTCATTCTTTCATCTTCATGCACTATTGTTCTATAAGAGAGCTCATTATATCTCTGGGCAGCTTCAATGAATTTTCTTCTATAATCTAAAACTCTGGCATAACAAACTTTGTAGTATATTTGAAGTTGTTCATTTCGGGATTCAGCTTGTAGTAAGGATGCTCTGTTTATGAAAGCCTCAGCTTGAACAGGATCATCATTTTCTAAATATAACCTGGCAATCTTTAAATATGTCTCTAGTTTGTAATCAACTGTGTACTGTTTTTGGCCTGTTTCTAGTGGTATTCCGACTAAAACAAAACACAATTTCATGATTACATTAAGTATGTATCAGGTAAAGTACAAAATAGTGGTTCGTCACATTGATTCACTACTTTCGTCAATTTGTTTCTAGTCATCATATATTTATTCTAAGCTGGTTTTAATTAAAAAGTGCATTGAAAATAATTAACAAAATACAGACATCATTAACAAAACATCTATCAGATTTTTAATTAGAAAAAATTATCCAAGGAATAGCACATTTTTTTTTCAAAAAATCGTCAATTTGTATATATAGTGAAAATTAAGAATTCAGATAATCTCAATTTTTGCAGAAATGTCCATAGTATATTGTGTCAAAACTAGAAATCGCGATATTTAAACTGAGCTGAGAAATCACAAATTAAATATAAATTTTACTTGGAAAAATTTTTATTATGAACATTTTGGTACCAAATTTGCAAAGTAGCCAGAGGATTATCGGTTTATTGAAAACTAAAGCACTTTTTTCATATCCACCACTCACTTAGAAGGTTTCTAGCAACATAGTATGTGTATAAGCCATGATAAATTATTTGTGATTAAAGCTTAACTTATGAAGATTTATTCTTGATTCACATACCTAATACAACTGCTGCTTCCCTCCACATTTGATTCCTTTCATAAATAAGAGCTAAATGTTGTCTTATGCTAGCTACTTGTTCTTCAAAAGATATCACCCTTGGCTGAACTTTATCTAACATATAGTGTGACACTGCTTTTGACACATCATCCTTAAGTTTCATTAGATGTGCACTAATTTCAGTTAGAATTTGTCGAGAAATTACTAAACTTACATTTTCATTTAGAACTAAAACATAGTGAATTAGTTTGACAAAATATGTTAATATTTACCTTAAAACTTACTTGCTTCAATAAAAGTTTGTAAGCATTCAATTAAATCAGTACCACTCTCTTGTAGTATACCTTCAAGGGTGGACCTATATCTAAAATATTAATTTTAAATATAAATAAAAATAAATAGAAATTCGTATTCACAATCTTCATTGTAAGTACCAAGAAATTGTCATCTGACTTAGTGAGTTCAACAATTTATATTTAGCTTTTCCATGAGTTTTTCTTGTATTATGGCAATTAAAACATCATATAAATGAACTTGTGACTTTATGAACTGATGTTAGTTGTTTGACAACAATTTAATTATTGAATTTATTTATTTCATAATTGCATAATTTGAATTAATTTACATCATAATTAGTACTATAAAAAGATATAAAGATATCAGCCTGCCTTTTTCTGGATGTTCAAGCCTCGACTTGAGTAATGCAAACTGGCAGTCAGCAGAATTTTTTTATTTCTAACTTATCTGAGCTGGTTCCATGCTTCGGAGTGCACACAGGGCAAAAAAACATGCAATTACATAACCAAAACAAACATTGAAAATAATATTTTTTAACATACACACAGTTATTGTTTTTATGAATTTCATATCAGTTTTTAAATTTCTTGGTACAATTACAGCATAATCGGTCAATTTAATAATATGGAAAATACATAAAAATTTAGAATACAGATTTGGAATAGTAAAATAATAAACTAATGATATTGTTTCTAAAAACTAAATATATATGTACAATTCAATGTAATAACAGAAAAGGACTGAAAAATATATTCAAAGGTTAAACACAAACAACCCTCAAGTCACTTCAATTACAGTGACAAATTACAGAAAATAAGTATTATATGCAAAATATATGTATCATTTCGAGCGAACAATGCTAGAAATGATACATAAACTACATAGAAAAGTATTAAAAAGTTTAAAATTCAAATGACACCTTAATGAAAAAGAGGAGAGGAATTAACAAGTATAGAAATTACTCAACCAAGGATTAACATCAGAGGGCCTAACTGTTATTATCACATGTATTGTGCACAATTAGTTCTAAATATTAATAATAATAGGGTTAAAAATATAAATTTAAAATAATTTTTTTGGTATATTTACTTTTCAGCTTGATCTTTGTGAGATCCTCCCGAAGCTATAATGTTCTGAAGTTGTACACGTAAATTTAGAGCCTTATTGGACATTGCTATTTTTAAATATTATCACACTATACTTTTTTTAATTATATTTCTTCAATCTAACTATATTTTAGTAGAGTTAGATAAAATCCTTCTTGTTTAAAAAACATGCCACTTCTAAGTCAACTGTCAAAAATCAAATTTTCATCAATATGAAATTATCAACAATTAAATTAAATCATAGGCGGATGCATAGGATTTCACTATGTCATGGGGATGTCGTGTAGAAAATTTGCATATTCATTTCTAAAAACATCGGTAATATGTTTTCAGTTTAAATGTTTACATCGTTTCTAGACGGTAGAATCACTTGTAAAACTTTATGACTTATGGTTTTTTATGTATTTTATTATAAACGTTTAATAAATTTTACCATGACTTTACCCTATTAAAAAAGCTATAATGACGTCTATGAATCTGTCAATTGTTAAACGTAGAGACGTCTCGTCAGAGACATATTATAGGCACAGAACAAACTGTTTTATTATTCTGTGTGATACAGAAGAATTAGGTTAACTTTACATTACAGATTCACAGATAAATCTAGATTGGTAACAGTGCCGATAGGAACTTCGGATAATCGGGATAATTCCGAAGTGCTATGGTTTGTTTTTTAGCAGAGTAAACTAAAAAGACAGATTCACACCCAAGAAAGTTACTAGAATAGTCAAAAAAATACTTCTAATTTTCTGGTTGATTATCTCAGCCACAGAATAAGAAACAATCAGAAGGGCCACTCTCAGATGCCGCCCTTGAAGTTTTTCAGCACGCGCGCCATGTTTTAGGAGGACACAAACATATGATTTGTGAGGTTATGCAATTGTTTACATTTATGTTTAATTATATTATATTTATGTTATTATATTTAAAACTGTTAATATAATGGTATAGTATGTCTATGATTGCCGTAAGTCAAATAAACCTGGTTTTTTTTTTCATGCACACCACATAAACAACACTGGTTCCCTTTAAAATCCTCGTAAAACATGGCGGAACGTCTGCGCGAAGGAGATGCGCGTACATAATTTTCCGTGGAGAGTGGGCATTCTGTTTGTTTATTATTCTGTGTCTCAGCCTTCAGGTAATCCAGTAATCAGTATCGCACAACCTCATACGTCGAATCTAACAACTTTGTTTATGTTTGAATAATTTTTTTCCAATTCACTTCTAATATATATATTTTTTTGTTTTTCTTATTACAATAATAAATGTTGGATTGTTGTGATGTTGAAGAATTTTTAGAGTTTATTTATCACATTGTAAAAGATAAATATTTATTTTATTTCACTTAAAATTAGCACATTACTTTAGTAAGTCTTGATTTTAACAATAACTATTCTACAAAACTAACCCGTTGCCTGTTTTATTTTTGCTACCATGGCTGTTATTTTCATTCCAGGCTTATCAATTTTTATTTATTTGTACATGATTATAATCATAGATAAATAATATAATAGCAGAAATTTATAATGCATTGTTTTTCATTTGATGATAAATGGTGGAAAATTTTTTAGGTGGAGAAGGATAATTAAAATACCACTATAGTACTCGACATTGAATTATATTGTTATATTAATAATACTAATACGTCGCTAAACAGTTCTAAAAAGACCTGTTTTTTATATAAATGCAAATGAAAAATCTAAAAATTAAAGGAATAAAGCAGAAAATACAAAAAATCGTCGATATAAATTTTAAAATTTCATAAATGTCATTAGTGTCAATATGTCATAATTTAGTGGAGTAAACTTGCCTGCGGTTGGACCAATTACAAACAAGCATTACTGCGCGGTAAATTTGAATTACTCCTGGTTAAAAACAAACCATAGGAACTATGAGAATGTGAGGTTAGGTTCCCTATTTATTGATTATTTATGCTCTTATAATAATTTCCAACAAATATTTATTTTAAAATATAAACACAACCAAATAATTCAAAAACAGAATATAAAAAGCATAGGAAGAAACACCAGAAGAATGTTTGTGTTGGAAGTATATCAATTATTTTGGAATGCTTGATTTTACCTAAAAATATTAATATGTTATTTAAATTTTGTAGAAGTATCCTTTATCATACAAAGAGAAATATTTCTTCATTAAAATCTGACACAATTTTTGCTTTATCATCTGGTAAGCCTAATTTTTACAATAACACTTGAATATTTATATTAAAAATCATTCATAATATATTAAATTCAAAAACAATCACTAGGTGATACAACTAGATTCTTTTTTATTCTGTCTAGTCTGTCGACTAGAAAACTGGGAAATAATGAGTAACAACCGACAAGAATGGTGAAGGCCTTAGACTTACAAAGGAGGTTGAGAAAAGGAAAAAATTAACTGCTTTATTTTTTTTATAAGTAATATAATATATTTAGTAAAGTATTTGAAAAAATTATATCTGATTACATAACACCAAAGTTTATTAATATTAGTTTATTAATACCTATATAAAAAATGGACTCTTATTTAATATAAATTTTAGGTCATGGCAAGTGTGGTGTTGCAGTAATTCGGATATCTGGTTCAAATTCTGAAACAGCCCTGAAATTAATGACTGGTTTATCATCAACTCCAAAGCCAAGAACAGCTATTTTAAAAAGTATTAGGAACCCTATAAATAGAGAAGTGATAGACAAAGGGTTGGTATTGTGGTTTCCAGGTAAATTTAATTGTGTATACATAATTTTGTCAAAAAATTACAATAACGAACCATTTAATAATAAACTTTAGATTCAAATATTTGAATGAGTAATGGCTTTGCTAATTTAGTAGAAAGTAGGCAGATAGGAGAATAGATATTTGTAAGATAATATGTGATAACAATAGAGGATTTCTCATAAATGATTAATGTTAATAGCCCAAAGATAGCAATTTTAGAATATAAGGTTTGTCTTTTGTTTACAAAAAAATTGGACAAAGAATTAGAAAGTTTTGTGGTCAGGGATAAGTTCACAATAACCGAAGTAGTATTAGCTGTATTGTCTCTAGAAACTTGGAAACAAAGAAAATATCTTATTTATGGAAAATAAGGAAGGATACCAAGGTTATGTGATATCATAATAGCATTGAACTTGTGTTTGACAAGTCATAGAATTTGATTGGCCGAAAGGGGTGGCGTGGTATGTAGGATGTGTATATCTGATTGGTGAAAAGAAGAAGGAGAGATTGAAGTGAAGGAAGTCATGTTTTGCTGGGTAAAAAACAAGATTACAAGTCGGAATAAGCAAGTTGTTTTTGTTGCATATCTTGCAGTGAAAGTTAGCAGAGCTCTTGTCAAATAATAGAGAGAGTGTTGCGAGGATAGTGTGTGCAAGAGACATTGACAAGCAGAAGAGATAGCAGGCGTTTGTAGAGCAACTGAGAGTATGAGCAAAAGGTGCATTATATAATGCAGTTCTTTTCACACTGTCATAGTGTCAACTTTGAAGTTAATGAAGAGATACATTGCAGAAGATTTTATATGCAGATGCTAACAGAGTAATGCCTCATAGTTCTTACAAAATTATTTAAAGAAAGAAAATATAAAATTATTATTTAAAGAAAAATAACAAAAATGTGACGTTTATGACGTTACAAACCGCAAAACTTTTTGATTTGATAATTGTATAAAATTACTTATATCATATACTTATTTATGTACTTTACATTTTGAAGGACCAAAAAGTTTTACTGGTGAGGACAGTGTGGAATTCCAAGTTCATGGAGGTGTTGCAATTATCAATGCTGTCCTAGAATCATTGGGAACAATTTCCAATTTGAGATTGGCTGAACCAGGAGAATTTACTAGAAGAGCTTTTCTTAATGGAAAATTAGATCTCACCGAAGTAGAGGGTTTGGCAGATTTGCTTCAAGCTGAAACTGAAGCCCAAAGAAAGCAGGTAAATATACTTCATTCATTCATATATACAATTTAGATTTATCTCGTAGGGTAGACCGGGGGAATACGGACACCTTAAGACAATTTGAATTTTCAGATTTATTCTATATTAGTTAGGTTTTTTATGAAAATACCTAGGTATACTATAATTGGAATTTTCCGCATCTATTGGGTATGTAATATTGGTAAAACAATGTCATTTACGTATTTAAAAACAATATTTCACTAACTTTAGCAAAGTGTCGGTATTTCCCCGATCACCGGGGTAATTCCGACAGATTTTTGAGGTAATGCCGACAGTAGTAATAATAAGAAAATAATGAGACAACTGATGGTATCGCTATATACACTGTTTTTAGGGCAATCATATCCACTGCACTCAGCGTAAACCTATTGTCTACAAAACACATGCAGATGTGACTTCCACACCAGTCTTACTGTTCGTTCGTCAGAATGTCTTCTGAGGTGTCCTGCCCATTGAAGTCTTCTGGACTTTATTTCTTTTATGATGTTGGCATCTGGGTGAAGTTCTTCGAGCTCTTTGTTAGTTCTTATCCTATATTGCCATGATGCTTCGTCCAGCACAGGGCCAAAGATCTTCTTTAGGCTTTTTCGTTCCCAAACACATAGTCTCTCTTCGTTTGCCTTTGTTATCATCTACGTTTCGCTTCCATACATCACAACGGGTCGTATGATTGTTTTATAGACCTGTATCTTCGTACGTCTTGTTAGTTGTTTCGATTTTATAAGGTTTTGGATGGCAAAAAGACATCTGTTGCCGGCCTGAATCCTGTTGTTTATTTCTTGTGATCCGTTATTGTCTTCAGTTATTGTTGTTCCAATATACTTGAATTCTCTAACGCGCTCAAAGTTAAAGTCATCGATGGTGATGTTCTGACCGATTCTGTCTCTGCTTTGGTTATTGCGGCTCATGTACATATATTTCGTCTTGTTTTCGTTGATTTGGAGCCCCATCTTCTCTGTTTTTTTCTCGAACCTCACGAAAGTTTCCTTCATCCTTAATCGTGTGTTTCCTATTAGATCGATATTGTCTGCAAATGTTAGTAGTAGGTTTGGTCCTTCTCGATGAAATACTGTATTCGGTTTTTCGATTCTTGCACTTCTGATTATGTGCTCTAGAGCTAAGTTGAAGAGTTGTGGTGAAAGTGCATCTCCCTGTTTTAGTCCATTGTTTATTTCAAATGTCTCCGAGTATTGTTATCCAACTCTCACCTTACATCGTAACCGTTCCATACACATCCGTATCAACCTGACTAGTTTTTTGGAAAGCCAAGTTCCTGCATCGCTGTCCACAGTCTGGCCCTGCATACTCTATCAAATGCTTGTTTAAAATCTATGAACATCTGATGAAGCTCACGATCAAACTGCCAGCATTTTTCCATTATCTGTTTTATTGTGAATATCTGGTCAATAGTAGAGCGGCCCGGTCTAAATTCGCATTGATAATCTCCAACGATACCTCTCTGTGTATGTTTAGGTTCTTTCTAGCAGGATGTTTGTAAGGATTTTGTAGGTGGTATTTAGGAGTGTTATTCTCCTGTAGTTTTTGTGTATTGGTACAATGCCCCCTTCTTTCCATTCATCTGGCATTGTTTCTTCTCGCTAAAAATACGGTGACGTGTTCAACTAAAAATAAAACCAAAACCCACTGTGTCGGTATTGCCCCGGTCTACCCTATACAAGTTATTATGTACTAGAATATTCTGGAATAGTCCACCTCTATTCACTTAAATTAAGGCGTCGATCTGCATCTCATCGTCGTCTCTAGATGCAACCGTTATATGGGCTAAATAAACATGTTCGGTACAATAGTTACATAGCGTCGTTTACACCCTTAACATCATAGTCAGTTTTCAGGCATACCTACAATCACAAGGATCGTTGAGCAAACTCTACAACAAATGGATGACGACTCTCATTCGCAATGTAGCCCATGTAGAAGCCCACATAGATTTCGATGAAACAGAAACGATGGACTTTGGCATAATTGACGCAGTTAAACATGATATTCAAAAGTTGGCTAAAAATATTGAGACACATTTAGCTGATGGAAGGAAAGGGGAAATTTTACGTTGTGGTGTAAGAACAATCATTTTGGGAGAGCCGAATGTTGGGAAAAGTAGCCTTCTGAACTTGCTATGTAAGTTTTTTTTATTTTATCACTGTCATCTTCAGTAATTGTAGCTATAGATATAAAACATGTAAATCTACTACTTCTTTCATTTCGTCTATTTGTCTTTTTTTAGTTGTTTTCATGCTAGTTAGGTTTTCCTATTCTCTCATCTGTTGGTCTCTTATACTGTTTTTTCTTTATTATTTATGTAATATAATTAGAATGGATTTATCCTGTACCGCTACCATATTAATGCCTAAATGGATTGGCGATACTTCTTTATGTACAGTATATTCAAACCAACTTTAGTAGGCGCTCCCCCTAAGGGAGAGCGCCCACCAAACTGGCGTTTCAAGTAGCGCGCGTCTAGCATGTTACTTAAAATGTAACCAAAGAAAACGAATGATACAGCACACACCAAAATGACAGTGACGTCATTCATTCTAATCATTCGTTTCCATTTTAAGTAACATGCTAGACGCGTGCTACTTGCCACGCTAGTTTGGTGGGCGCTCTCACTAAGGTTGACGTTCTGGAAATTTTAAATATAAGTGACGCGTCACTTTATGTAAATTGTGACGTGCAACGTTTTTACTTTGAAAAATTGTAGATTTAATTACGTGTTTACATCTAAAATTACGAATACCGACTAATGAAGTCATGGACGTATAAACATAGATGGACACAGCAATAAGATACCTTTAACACACAATGTTTTGAAGCTTCCATAGAATGTGATGCTTCTGCAATGAGCATAAGCGTGCTTGAATTTTTACTCGCGGGTAATTATTCAGATTTTAAAAATTGGAAGTAGTAATAATGTATAAAAACACGTTCAAAGAATTATATAAAACGAGAGTTTAACTTTTAACAAATCACGTCTTTATAGAAAAATTAAAATAAAATTTTATTTGCTTTAAAATTAATACAATTAAATATAGTTGAATTCAAGTTAATTTTTTAATAGGTATCAAAATAATGCTACAATACAAAATCTTTATGTTTTCTCCTAAATTTGCTACCCAAATAGTTCGATCGTCAATATTATTTGGAAACCTACATAGAAAAATAAATTTTATTAATTTCACTAATTTATTTGTATCCATGAGAAATATTTAATTAAAAAGGTACTAAACAGATCTTTTTTAATCAGATGATGTCTACTTACAATTTAAAAATGTCTACTAATTTCATGAACTCATATCTTATTCAATACATTAATGAACATGAATAAGCCCAATGGTACGCCTATTAAAATGTAAACAAACACGCTTCCTCATTTCTTCATCTTAAATAATGTAAATTGTATGTACTTACAAATGAAATGAGAGATCGGGATGTAAATATTTCGTTTATTTTATTTCACTTTTCACAAATATCACTCAAAATACAGCTAAAATATCGAAAAACAACTTTTCCCCATCTACTGTAAAAAGTAAACAAACATGGAACAGCATTTGAAGTTTGACGTAGATCCATAAGACAGAGAAATGTAAACACCGTTGCCATTTATAAATAGTTTTCAGTGCTTCTACATATAAAATAATTGATTGATATCTATTATACGCTATTATTAAATGATAATGCACACTATGTGCACACTTTATATTTTGATTACAATTAAATATATTAATCTAACCAATAAATTATTTTTGGTTTGATAGCACCTGTAGAGTATAAAATACGGAGTAATATTTTCAGCGACTCGCGAATAAGAAATTTTAAAACAAAACGTGACAACAGTTGAAGGTGCTGAGAATGTGGCCTATTCAAATAATTTTGACTACACAATTTTATGTAAATAACTGAGTCCATCTGTGTTTATACGTCCATGGTTAAGACAAAATCAATTTCATTTTTGAATGAAGTACTCAATTGTGTAAATAAATAAAGTTGTGTAGTTCATCTAGATTTTTTTTAAAGGTCATCGTCCAGCGGCGATAGTCACCCCTATCGAAGGCACCACCCGCGACATTCTAGAAGTAACTTTAAACATCGGTGGCTACCCCCTGGTATTGGCAGATACGGCTGGCCTTAGGTCAGATTCGATAGACGTCGTCGAAAGAGAGGGAATTAGTCGAGCTCTACAACTATACGAAAAGTCTGATCTTGTAATTTTAGTTGTTGATTCGGAGAGATATTTGCGTTGGAAAAACGATCATGCAGATAGAAATTTTAAAGACTACCTTGTAGATTATTTAGAAAAGCTGAAATTATCGGATCTTCTTAAAAGTTCAAACACGTGCGATATACGTTTTAATAAAAAATGCATATTAGTTTTTAATAAAGCTGATCTCTGTGCAGAACATATTGATATTGACACGCAGACCTGTGTAAGCATTTCCTGTATTACTGAATATGGTGTTCCTACGCTAATAAAAAGTATTTCGATGCATTTAAAAGACTTGTAAGTATAAATTATTCTTACATTTTTTATTTTCAACATTTAGTCTTTTTTCCAGGTTTCTAAATTTTAAAGAAATTATAAGAATTCTGAAGAATTTTTCCTTTTTTAAAAATAATACTATATCATTGAAGAAAACTAAGCATTTATTTCAACATTGTGTCATTCAGTTTAAACCCCTCTAACAAAATGAAAAATAAACAATGAACTGGCTAATATTTTTGTATGATCTACTATGTAAATTTTTTATTAAAATCAATAAGAGTACTTTCGGCATGTAACATGCCATCTTCAGAGCTTCGTCCTATAGGTTACAAATACCCCATGGAAGAATGAGTTTTGTGTCTACAATCACTGCAATAAGCTCAAAATATAAATAGGTGAAATATTTTACGGGAGGCCTACATTCAGCAGTGGACAAACAGACTAGTTGATGATAAAGACTGCTGCATATCCAGGGTACATATTATAAGAATAATACACTTCTCAGCAACTAATACTAAAGGAAAAGAGCGGCCTAGGACGTGAAAAGATGTTATGACTATGTATCGTTCGCTAATGGACGGGAATCCATAGTTATGAAATGCTTCCCTGTGCTGCTAAAAATATATTTGTCTCTCAAACTGGAATTCGACTTTAATTCAACATTAATTCCCAAAAAAAAACATAGCTAATACTCCTTGCACTTTAATATCTACGGTTTTAATGCATTGACATTGTGGTAAGTCGCAATGTGTTGGGTAACATAACCTTTGTCAGCAAATAGTTCTTAATACATTTTTCTTTCCTTTGAAAAGTGGTATGCTTGACCGAGAGTCAAGCGGGTGGACATTTCTTACATAAAATTGACCGCTCGTTCTTATGCGATGCTCAGAATTTTTCTACATCTAACGGTTCGTGAGAAAAATTTTCATTTGGAGGTCTATATTTGCTGAAAAAGTAAAGAATTTTTAATTCGATTTTTTCTCTTTCCCGACAAGTTTGGGTTGGCGGATCAGACTAAGACAAGTTTTTGTAATAAGCTGGACCGAGTGCTTGCATAAAAACATAAAAAAAATTTTTTTTTTTATAAAAATTTGGAAAAAATGAACAAAGGGGGTACCCTTGGATTTTTTTCGAATTTCGTTATTCGGCTATATTGGCGTCAATTTTCGTCCGAGAGTCAAGCGGGTGGACATTTCTTACATAAAATTGACCGCTCGTTCTTATGCGATGCTCAGAATTTTTCTACAACATTCAACCGGGTCAGTTTACAAATAATTTATATAACATTATAACACGTGAGTGTGTCTTGTTTAAAACTTATTATAAAATTACAACGAAAGTAAACTTCTAATTCAAATTATGTAACGAGTTAGTACTTACTTTAAGTTTAAAAAAATTCAGTTAATTTGTTTGTAACTTCAGACAACCATATTATTTCGTAAGAGTAACACCATATATGTTAATTGCATTTTTTTAATCAGAAACCAAACTGGATCATTATATTTTTTTAGATGTGGAGAACCAACCGCTGAACATCCCAGTATGAACCAAATTAGACATCGACAGCATCTTACTGATTGCTTGAAACATTTAAGGTTATTTATTGAGAGTAGTGATAATCATAATCACGATTTAGTCATAATGGCCGAACATCTAAGAAGAGCATTAAAACATTTAGGAAAACTATTAGGGAAAGTAACGACAGAGGATTTATTAGATGTGATTTTTAAAGATTTTTGTATTGGTAAATAATGTGTCTGATTAAATACGATTTTAAGATTTTTTTATTCCATCCCGCATTTTCATCTGTAGGTATTTGTCCGGTATTATCCTAATCACCAATGATAAGAAAGAGTGCTAAGTTGCTTACCAAAATGGTACGCAAATTTCGATAAGTGATTGTAAAGCAGAACAAAAAATACAAAAATGTGACTAGAATAAAAGAAAACATGTGATTTCGAATGACACCAGTAAACTGTTTATTAATTTTGCATTGGGAAGCAATATGAAAGTATGAGAGAAAGTATTACAGAGAAAAAAAAATAAAATTAGTTTCACAACCTCACGATAATATCAATCCAGGACGGAACTTAGATCCACAATGTACTGAAGATCCAGTACCGAATATAGAACCAAATTAGGGTCCAGTAGTAGGTAATTATAAGCTAATAGCAGCTTTTTCTATTCCGTAAAGAGTAAATGATGAAGTAGCTGCAATGTTGGCAAATGGTACGCCTGGAAACTTTTTTGATGCTGTGGTCGATGAGAGAGAATTAGTCTGATTTGTAACCAAACAAATATGAACTCAGTCTGTACTGGCTGCAGACGTAAAACCAAGCTCTAGCTTACATGTCTGGATTCCAACGACAAATATTAAAAGTAAAAAATTTTTAGGGCTGGTTGCCTGGATGGGTTTAGTGAAAATGCCGAAAATCGCAGACTATTGGAGTAACGATAACCTGTTCCATAATAATTTTGCAAAAAATGTAATGTCTAGAAATCGATTCGAGATGGTGTTAAGGATGTTTCACTTTAATGATAAGTTATTGGCAGATATAAGTGATAAACTGTGTAAGTTAAAGCCACTTGTCGACATTCTGACGGCAAAGTTTAAATCTTTATACGTGACGGAAGAATATGTCTGCATCGATGAAACCCTATTATCCTTTAGAGGATGTTTGGGAAACAGTATTTAAGTCCAAAAAGACACAAATATGATGTAACAATTTTTAAAGTATGTTCTGGATCTAGATATACTTACAATTTCAAAGTATATGCAGGGAAAGAAAATAGTTCTAACGTCACTCCAGAAAGCGTTGTACTGTATCTTATGGAGGATTTAGTAAATCAGGTAAGAACGCTGATAACCGACAATTGGTATATAAGTTTACCGCTAGCAAAAAAAATGACCGTCGATACACACCTGTTAGGAACTGTTCGAAAAAAAAAAGTCGAAAATATTTACCCCAAGTAGTAGCTGCAAAATTAAATAAAGAGCAGGTGATAATAGGAAGGAAAGGAGAGGCAGGAAACCCAAGGTGATAATAGATTACAATAAAGGCAAAGCGGCAGTAGACTTATCCGACCAAATGTGAGCATATTCCAATCCCCTTAAAAGCATAAAATGGTTTAAAAAAGTGGGGTTTGAATTATTATTAACTGCATCAGTTATAAATTCTTTTTTAATTTATAAGCTTGTAACAAATAACAATATGTCGGTGACAGATTTTAAAAACCAAATAGTGAAACATCTAGTTACTTATAATGAAACCACCACAGTACCATGAAGAATGTCAAATAATCACCATCAGCTTGAACAGAAGGGAACGGAAGTAAACATCAACGAAGGAAGACTTGTAAGAACTGCTACAAAAAAAAATAGTGCGCAACACGGCCGTCAGTATGCTACATAACAAAACTAAAAAGGTAGACACCTTTTGCAAAAACTGTGACAAGGAACCTTTTCTGTGTATAGATTGTTTTAATAATTACATAGAAGTTAAATAACTTTATTGGTTGTTTTACATTATTTGATTTTTCTGTTGTTGAAAAACATGTTTGTACAAATAAATATCAACCCAAAGTTGTAAATAATGTTTTTGACTTATATGGGACCACATTTGTCATATTCCATAAATCGCACAAATTCTGTATATAGCACATAGCTTGTAGGCCTCGTTGGCCCATTCCCATGGTTATTTAATACTCAATAAACACCAACGGCTCGGCACATATCGGAATAAATGTTGGTACCATAGGGCCAATATGGCCTGTTAATGCAAAACTTGCGTTGGTCCCGTCGGACCAACGTGGCCTATTGAAGCAACATCAGCGATGGTCCCATCGGATAAACATGGCATGGAACGTGTTAAGCATTACTTCTTTATATACATGGTGTTGATTTTAAAGGGATTTCGAAATGCATACTCTGTATGCTAATGCAAAACCCAATACTATAAGGACAAGAATTGTGAGAATACAAATTTGAAAAAATATATAGGGTGTCTCATTTAAAAAATATGTTTGCTATACCACATAGTTATTAATCACCCTGTAGAATATATATAAATATTTATATAAATTAAAAAATATTTATATAGAACTCTTGAAAATGCATTTGGTCGTTGGTTTCTAAATCAGATAAATTATTTTCTTTTCAGAATTCGTCTTTTTTTAGCATCAAAAATATGAGAGTAGACAGATAGTAGATTTTGAAAATAAACAGCTGACATGATTTTGGTGTTTGAGTTTGACATGTGTCCTTAGCTAATACGGGCACGCTGTTTCTGAATATGAATTCGGTTTAAGCCATCACATCCAAATTTTTCACAAAATTAAACAAAACCTTGGTAAGATATTATGCACTAGTGTAAAGAAATACCTTATTGATATTTCGTAAATTGCATTAAAATTATTTCTTTAAAATACTTGATAGAAAATATTTAATCCATTATTATGCTAATTCCATTGGAATGGTAACACTGCCCTTCTTGTTAAGGTGCCTTCTTCATTACTGAAGGTTGACTAAAACTACAGCAAATATACTAGCGCAAAAAAGTACCTTATTGGTGCTTGCAGTTTTATTTAAAAAAACCAAATATTGTCTAACGTAGGTTATACTGAATTCTTTTTTTTTAAGAACAACTCAGTTTTGAATTGTAATTTTATATTAAATAATATTTCAATAAATATTTTCTCAGTATTTTGGCAGTTTCTATGAAAAATTTTAAACACACTTTTCTTGAAAACCTGACGTGCTGGAAAAAAAACTAATAACATATTCGTGATCAGTATATCCCATTTACTGTATGACACCTATTTAACTTGAAACACTTTCTCATAAAAATAAAAATGTAGGCCTGTGTAATCATAGATTTTGGTTCTTCACTCATGAGGGAATATTTATTTCAGATTATATTGACCAAAGGATCATTTTGATGACTCAATTTGTAGACAAATTCAAAAATGCTAATGTCTGAAATAAAAATGTATTTTTTGTCTCATTGTGTACTTACCCCACTCCCCCCACTTCAAAAATCGGTTACCAAGCCCGTCTCTGATAAATAAAACTAGAAAAATTAAATCGAGGAAGATCGGGCAATGAAAGGCATCATTGGATATTTAATTTATATTTAACCAATTCCAAGTAAAAATTATTGCGCAAAAACCATGAATAGGTTCACTTTGATCAAGTTTTGTAATTCAATAAAAACTTAGTCTAAACAATATCAAAACAAGTCTTTAAAAATGCTATGTTTATTCACTTCAAAAAAAAAAATGTCAACAAGAGTCTAGAATCACCTAATTCTTACTTATTTAGTAGTAAAAAAAAACAAAAACTCACAAATATCATACAGGGACCAGTAAAGCTGGGTTTCACAGAAAAAGGTGGTTCTAAAAATGGCTGGTAATCACTGATAAAAAAGAAAAATTTACAAAGAATTAAAATTAAATTACGATTTATTGAACGAAAATGTAGCTTTGCAATTTTGCCAACAAATTACAGATAGATGTAAAATTACACCACATCAACGTCGGATGCCGGTTGACAGGGCGTCGGGCGTTAGATAAGCTTTATTTGTTTAATAACTGATGGTCCAATATGATAAATATATTCATAAAATATAAAAGCGGGGATCCCCAGTAGACAAAGGATGACGCCTGCGTTCTCGACCCCGCTGTCTTACAACCGGCTATTATTATTTATCAAGAGCAGTATTTGTTTTTACTGCAATAACGACCTGAAACAAAAAAAAAACAAGTTAATTGTCAGTTTATTGCAGCATAAAACCAGTTAATTAAGCATATTTATGACAAAAACCATATAATGTAATCTAATAATTTATTGTAAAAGACATAATGTGATGCTGATCTCTTTGCTCCATCCCTGACCAACTCATAACAAAAAGTTGATAATTATTTAAATTTTATTTTGTAACAGTCATTGAGATGAACACAGTCTTTCCATCTATGTTTTACCATTTCTAATGCTTCTTGCAAGACAAGTTTGACTTCTGCAAACCACTAATTTTCTGCACATATATTATCCACAAGAAAATCTTTTACCACATAAGTACTCTTTAGTTTAGGAAACAGTTAGTAGTAATAGCTGGGGGTCAAATCTGGAGAATATAGTGGATGACTAATAAAAAGCCTGTTTCAAAATTGCAACTGTTACAATGGCAGATCTGGGACTGAGTAGATCCTCCTGATTTCCTAGATAACACATTTCGTCATCATTTGTATTTCAAGGAACCGAATCATATGGAGATAACATCCGAGGTTTAAAGTAATGATAATATAAATAAAAATAGTAATAGCATTCCAAACATAAGTACCAATCAGGCAATGTACATTTTTTCGTAAATTTAACAATTAAGGCAATAAAATAGATAAAAAATAAATAAAGTTCACCTGAAAAAGACAATTTATCAATGGCAAACAAAAACTCTGGATGTAAATACTATTAATACTCAAATTAAACTATAAATATTTACAAACTGACTCACTTCGAGGTAATAATTGAAAATATAAATGATTCACATTTAATTTGATTAAGGTTGGAGAAAGAATATTAAAAAATTGGCCAGAGCTAGACAATCAAATAAAAAGAATTGATTTGGCAGAAAACATTTTAAAAAAAAAGTAGTTTTTGGAGAATCTAAGGGGCTAGTTTTCTAGTAGACCAATATAATTAAAAAAGTTTTACTGGACATAAACTAGAGGCTTATATACCCAAATGTATGATTAATTATCAGGAATTTTGAGAGATATTGATAAAGATATTTCAGTTGAGGATATAAAGGATAAAATTGAAGTATACAACTATCATTATAAACTTACAGTAGTTGAAGTCAAAGACTAAGAAAAACTGTTGAAAATAACACCACAGTTTATGTTCCAAGTAAAAGTGTCACTGCGACTTTTAGGGCACAAAATTTACCAAAATATGTGGTGATTAATAAATATATTTGTACAAAAAGTAGTATTATATTATAGTTGCTAACATTACGGACATATGGGTGGACAATGTCACTGTAAAACTAGACTTCAAATGTCACAGTGAATATTTATCCTCCAAATTTACAGAAAACCCAATCAATAAATGACTTCAGTGAAAAGTAGATCATTCAATCAGAAATTTTCAACTACACCCTGAATACCTCAGGCAAAAAACTATTTAAAGATATCATGTCTCAAAAGAATTTAATATGACATAATTAAATCAATCTCTGATAGATCCTATACAAATGCAACTATCAGTGAAAACAACATTAAATCCTCAATTACCCATGGAGTCAGCATGCCAAAAGCCTTTCCACCCCTTCCAAGTCAAGTGTTTCCATGATTTCCAAGTTTTTTGCAGCCTTACCCCATGGACTCTCATAAGTACACTGATCACAAAAATCCAATCAAAAGGCCCAGACCTTAATCACCAATAAATCACTGTATTGGTGAAGTAAACAAAACAACTAAACCAATTCAAATTGCTGGATTACAAGTAGGTATTTTAGGTAAAGAATCTTATCGAGGAAAAAAACAGAAGTCTGCATTTTTACGAATAAAAGTAAAAACATTCCAACCGAAATAACATTGGATACAGCAGACACAAAGGCGTACAAGCATCCTTAAAATACCTAGGAATGTATTTTGGATAAATAAATAAACATGGACAAATCACAGATTATCTAATCAAGAAAACAGAAAAAGGACTTAACATCTTACGGTCAGTGTATGGAATAAAATGGGGATCAGATCCAAATGTAGCAATCCTTCTGTACAAATCCTACATTAGGTCAATATGGATTATGGTCGTTTCTTTTACATTCAAGCTTCAAAAAGTCAACTAAAAAAATGGATCACATAGTAAATAAGTGTGCTTTAAAAAGTACACCAATTGATTGTTTATTTTCTGAAGAAGCTCCAACTCCACTAAAATATCATCGAAAGATGTTAGCTTCCAATTTTATAGCTGAATTAAGTTTCAAAAAAGCTACTTAGTCCAAAAAATCAATATACTGTTTACATCTGATCTTACCCATAATTATTGAAAATCGAAAAAAAAAAGTTATTACTGACTATTATTAAGTCATACTATTTAATACATAATAATGCATTAAGTTGGTCCATGCTCAAACACTATTAGACATTTCTATTTAATGTTGACCTTTTTATTTTTCACAAAAAATTTAATAATTCAGAAATGTTACAACTTGTCATTGAACATATTAAGAAATGTTTAGAAAGAGTTAAAAAGTATATTGATTGATATGTTTCCATGGAGCTTCTTCTGTCTTCTTCTATTTTAAAGTAACAATATTCAAACTTTTGTTTTTGCAGAGTATACAAGCAATAGTTACTTGTAATCATAAAATGGCTTTCATGCAAAAATAGTGTTCAATAAGTGATCATATTAATAAAATCCAATGTTTTAGTGTATCCAATTCTTAGTAAGCATAACATGATCAATTCCATATATGCTTGTGGAAAAGTTGGATTTTACTGTATGTCCCTTTTGACACCCAAGTTTACATTGAATATAAATTCAGGTAACACAGGGACCACTAGACAAACAACCAAATATCCCTTAATTTTTGTTTTCCTGCCAAATGGTCTCCCCTGAATAACACCTAACATTAATTTTTCAATTTATACAAGAAAATAAACTATTTTTAACTTTCCACAAGGCTGACTATCGTCTAAGTGAAGGTTGACTATCATCTACCTTTCCTATTAATATTTATAAAAAAAAATTAAGAATCACTTTCAACCTGAGATTAAATTTAGGAAAAATAAAATCTTAATCTTAAAATTCAGATTAAGATTAGGATTAAGATTTTATTTTTAATGTTATTATTTCCTGTTCTAGTTGGTATTATTGCCATAAGATTGAAAAACTGAGATGTCACAACTGAGTTCATTTTTGAATCATATTATATGTTAGCTGCAAAAATTATGTTGTATTAAAATAAAAAAGCAACAAAACAACAACCTGATGTTTATAAACGGTATGGTTTTGATTGCGATATTTTGGCACATTTAATCTCAGATTATATTATATATTAACTGGCCAAAAGTGTAAACTTACTTCTTCACCACATGACTTCAGTACAGTACATAATATATCCTTGCCAGCAGCATGTTCTGAGCGTACTTGAGCTCCAACTTCACCATCTGGAACTTTTAAATCTTCACGTAATTCACCATTATCAGACATAAGGGATAAATAGTCATCATCAGAAATATCTGTCAACTGATAATCTTCACGTTTAACGTGAGGTACATCCATGTTGTGTGTAGAGGGACAAATATCTTCATATTTTTTACCTAAACAAAACATTATTAGTCAAAAATTTTTGTCATTAAAAAAATAATTTCGGTATTTTTATAAATTATATTCATACAGTGTATATACAAATGGGGTGGTTAAGGGGAAAAATTTTATTTTTAGCAAAAAATGTCAATGTTTAGTCAATTTTATTTAAATCCCTATGAATTGTTGCACTAGTCAGAACTGTGATAATAATACAGTATGTGGCATTTACTTTAATAATCTAGTGAGTGACATTTTCAATATACTGAAGTAAGTGAACTTTGGTAAATAATATTAAGATTGTCATTCTTTTTAAACAATGTTAATCCTTCAACAAAAAATATATCTTGTTAGAAGCTATGACATTGGGGTTGTTTTATAGGGGTTGAACATTCAGGATTTACATGAAACTCTGTTCTGAAACTTCTTCAGAACAATTAAATGCTTATATTCTCCAAAAATGTTGCAAATTTCTTTATGTATGAGGGTGGATTGATATAAAACTAGCCTTTGATAGAAAAAACAAGTTTTTTCAAATTAAATTGATTTATTTCTCATAGTCCCCTTTTAGGTTGATACAGTTATTAAGACATGTTCCAATTTTTTTATCCCAACTGAATAGTATTTTTGCTCAAGCTCTTCAAAAAAGGCCGAAGTTTCAGCGACAACTTCATCATTTGTTGAGAAACGGCGTCCTCCAAGCCATTTTTTTAGGTTTGGTATCAGGAACAATCGCTGGCGGCAAGATCTGAGGAATAAGATGGGTGTTTAATCAATTCATTGCCCAATTCGTGTAATTTTGCCATGGCGTCGGCCGATCGGTGAGCCAGTGCATTGTCTTGGTGAAAGAGCCCTTTTTTGTGTTCCAAACTTGGGCGTTTTCGCGCAATTCGGCATCGAATTGACCCAATAATGTTGCATAGTACTCACCATTGATTGTTTTTCCTGTTTCCAAGTAGTCGATGTGGATGATGCACTTGCCTCCCAGAAAAAGTCGCCATCACTTTGTCCGCCGAATGTACACTCTTTGCCTTCTTCGGCGACCCAGGTTTCATCAACGGCGAAACAAATCCTTCGGATCACGCCGAATCATCGCCAAAAGCGTCTACGAAGTGGTCACACGTTTTTGCATTGGATCGATTGTTAGCAAACGCGGCACCCATCGCGCGGACAGCTTTTTCATGTCCAAAAGATGGTGCATGATGTTGTGTACGCGTTCGTAGGAAATGTTTAGGACCTCTGTTAACTCGCGGAGCTTAATTCGACGATCTGCAATCATGTCATGGACTTTGTTGATCATTTCTGGCGTGGTGACTTCATTTGGCCTCCCGGAACGTTCATCATCAAAAACACTCATACAACCATGAACAAATTCAGCTTTCCAAAATTTTACTGTTGCTAACGAAGGTGCAAACCTCTTTTACCCTTTTTGTGGAGGAGCTTAATCACTGAAACACACTTCCCCGAAAACACAAAATTTGCATTGTTTTTAAAACTTAAAATTTTGACAGATGTCATATCATAAATGGCAAATGTCAACACTGAAACCAATTCGGTATCATGTAGCACCATCTATCAAAGACTAGTTTAATATCAATCTATCCTCTTATATATTGAAGAAGCCCTAATTAAGATAAAAAAAACCAGCACAAAGAAATATTGTTACCTAAAACTGACACACAAAATTCTCCTGATAACAACAAAAGTGTCCAGCAAAAAACACTGCCTCAAAGTAAGGCCACAAAATAAATAAAAATTGTTTGTTATACTGTGGTAAGACCTATCAAAAAATATCAAATGTATGGTTGATTGTATGCCATAATATGACTGAAAACACTTTGCTAGGTGTAATTATTTCTATTGTAAGGATAAAACTCATACATTTTAGTTCTAAAGTATAATGGGCAGATGTGCTTTGTAAGACAATATTTTTTACAATAAAATATTTAACATATTTAAGACTTTTAAAAAATTGGTCATAAAACATAATCCTGTATTGGCTTACCTCAGAAATAAATAAAATAAAGATAAAATTATAATATAAAACTAATACTCCATTGGTAGCATCATACTGATGAACTCTCTAATATTTTAAAACAATTTAAACTGATGATGAAGTAAAACTGGTGCAAATGAAAATATTTCAGCTAATGAAATAATCTTTTTAACTAATCTTTTATTTAAAATATAGATAAACCAATATTAGTAATGAATAAAAATAATCAATTGGTAACTGAATAATGAAATACAATTAAAAAATGATATACAAACAATTATATTATAAAATGTTTGTTCAAATACTATCTATTTTGAGATAAAGTTTGATGACACCTGTATGAGTCACTCGAATCAACAAATATTCTAGTGCAAATAAAATTTTAAAAATCAACTTGAAAAAGTTCAAGGTCTGTCTCCAAATTTTAGTAAACACCATATGATGGACTCACATGTTCTTGTGGAAATTTGGAATATGATGTTTGTCTCTTTTGACACCCAAACATAAATATATTTTGATGCTCAGGTAACACAGAGACATGTTCTAACAACTAGCTATCTGTTAAAAGATTATTTTTTATCAGATGTATTGGTTATTTTTAAATACATAATTGTAAAGGTCAACAGATAGTGAATAATTAGTGTTTATGTGTGTGATATCTAACTTTTTGCAACATGAGTTTAAAATTATCAACAGGATTACATTAGAAAGTTAAAGATTGAATTAACTTCAGATATAATGGAAATTTACTTAGTACAGAATTTGTACAAGACAAAATACTTTTAATTTATATTTAAAACACTCTTATCATAAAATGTTTTTACATTTTATGATAAAATTCCTTTGCTTAAGCAATTTAAAGAATATTAATTATTTTTTCAATTAGAAGATTCAGTTGAAAAGAAAATTATTAATGAAGTAGATTAGATAAAAATTTGAAACAGAGAGAAATTTCTTGTAAAATCATAAAATTTCATGAGAAAAAACAATTATAAAAACGACCTATGCTATGAGAAATAATTTTACACAATAAAATGAAAAGTCAAAGCCTGGAAAGTTTAAAGAAAAACAGATTTGGTGATAAGGTGAATTTTTGAAGAAAGTTCCTTTATTTCATCACATTAAATACAGTGCTAAAGAATCAATGCCAGTGTTTCCAGTTGTGACTACAGTTTTTAGCATTGGACAATTAAAATTTAAAGATAAATAGTAAAATCAGAGGTTCTAATTAAAAGATAAAGTTCTATATTTCAATCATATGAGTATATCGCTAATTGATATTTTTTACAAAAAAATATTGTAACTTAACCCCCGGAAATTTAACAATAAACTGTGAACAGTTGTGTATTCTAATACATAAACTAATATCATCTCTCGTGTTCATAATGTAAATATATATCTATTTTGATTATTATACAATGAGGTTTTTGATACATTCTTAACTTCTTAAAATAACATAAAATGTTAAGCCAGTCTGAAATAATACTAAATGCCTCCAAAAAGTATCAGTCTAGTTTTATATGTGCAGCGAAGTTATAGTTTTTATATAATTTTTTTTCACCTTTTTAAATTATTTTATTCCTAAAGACCAAAAAGGAATAGCAACTCTACTTCCAGGTTTCCAAACTGGTTCTCTTAAGATTTGAACCATAAAATTAAAAAGAAAAATAGTCTGCATCAATTGTGTTTAAATAAAGCCTCAGGGAGCCCAAAGAGTGTTGAATTTCAGCTTTTAAGAACTGATATTAAAAACCAAACCAAATATGAGCATAACTTATACAAACATTCACTTGAAAACTACATCTACTTGCTGACCCAAATAAATTCTGGACTTTCTTAAGTCAAAATATAAAATATATTGGAATTTCCATAAAAATGACATTAAATAATTTCAAGTTTAATACATCTTTTGATATTGCGAGTGCCTTTGCTAAATATTTTGCATCAGTGTATAATAATTTGACTGCACACATTGTCATTCTCAAAGTATTGAGTGGGGTTCTTTTACCTTTAAATATAGCACAGAAATAGATGTAAATAGTATTAAAAAACTTAAACCCAAAAAATCTACAGGCCCAGATGAAATACCACCCTGTATCTATAAGGGAATGACTGAACCCTTGGCTAAACCCTGGCGTTTTTGTTTAATATGTTGAATGAACACAAATATTTTCCAGATATTTTAAAAGTGGCAACAATTTCTCCAATACATAAAAAAGTTTAAAAAAAGACATTCAAAACTACAAGCCTATCAGCCTGTTAAATAGTATTGCTAAGATTTTTGAAAGTATTCTTTATGATGAAATATATGAGCATGTTAAGAGACAAATGAACAGTAACTACTCTCTGTGTTTTCTCTGAACATATTGCCAAGGCTTTTGAGGCAGGGGAACAGATTGCGAAAAAGCATTTGATAAGGTAAATCACTGTATTCTTTTAAATAAACTGGTACAGTTTGGTTTCTCAAGAAAAGCTTTTATATTTATTAAAATCTTATTTGTCAGATAGAAAAAATGCAGCAAAAGTAGGTAATTGCTTTTCTCACCAATATGTGTCATCCTCGGGAGTCCCACAGGGGAGCAAACTAGGACCATTGCTGTTTATTTTATTAACAACTTGCCAGACTGTATTAAATCTTGTAATAGCTTAATGTATGCCAATGATTTTAAACTTTTTAAAACAATCTCTAATAAGAAAGATGCAGTCAAATTGCAAGATGATCTAAGATCAGTTATTCAATGGTTTAATGATTCAAAATGACTCTTAATGTTAAAAAGTGTGCAGTAGTTTCATATACATGAAAACTCAATAGTGTTATTGAAGATTATTGTATTAAAGATGATCAAGTTGACTGAGGGAGTGTTATGAAGGATCTTAGTATTAAATTCCAAATCAAAATGAAGTTCAATAGACACTTTTATGAAATAACTAACAGAGCTTATCATGCTTTGGGTTTTGTCATTAGAAATAGCAAAAATTTTAGAAAAGCACAATTATAAAACTCTATAATGCCCTGGTGAGACCACATTATGGAATATACTTCAATCATCTGGTCTCCTACTGCATTTTCAAACTCAGAAATTATTGAAAAAGTGCAAAAAGTTGGAAAAGTGAAAAACAATTTTTAAGATTTCTATACATAAGGAAAAATAAGAAATATCCATATGTGGATAGAAGAAACAGTCAGGTGCTTATGTTCATATACTTGATTGTTAATAGTATTAAGTACACAAACTGTGGTTTAATTGAGTTTATTTACTTTGGTACTCGAGTACCCAAGAGTAGGTTAAGGATAACTAACCTAGGTCTATTCTTTACAAATTACTATAGAAACATCACCAATAAAGAATATGTTAAAAATTTGTAATGAAATATTTAATAGACTGACTCATGTGGATATATTTAATGTAAAAAGCTGTAAACTAAAGACATTGTCTGCTCATCAGCACTGGGTTTAAGAGGTTTATTGTATTTTTTTCTTATTGTATTATTAATTTTCATTTCTTTCATTCATTTATTGTATTTATTTGTGTCTTAAACACTTTACATGTAAATACTTTTAGTCTATAGTGTTTGTAAGGTGTCTAAATAAATAAATAATTACTCACAAGAATCATTTTCAAATGAATCATGAAAGAATGACATATTACTAAATGGAATGCGAAAAATACATATTACTAAATGTGCAATTATGTAAAAAAGATTAAAAACATACTAGTCACATATCTTAAGTTTGGATATGATTTATTTACTTTTTATTATTATATAAATAATTATTGAAATTAATAAAAAAAAAACATACTTATGTATATACAAATAAAAAAAATATATAAAATGAATATAGTTTGCAAGGGCATAAATACAATCTATAAAACTGAAAATATACATAAAAATTAAATACAAAGTACTCACCAGAGAAGATATCAATACCAACCAAGTGAACTTTAGCATGACCGTGTTTGCCAGTTTTGGATGTGGACATTTCAACAATCTTACATGGTCTAGACTTCAACATTACGAAACCGTTTTTACGTAGGGCTGAGCATTGCATAGGATAAGTTGCAGAGGCTCCAGAGTCTCCAGTTTCAAAATGTGAGTCATCGAGATTATCTGCCATTTTTACTATTAGTTATTGTTTCAACCTTGCAAGCTGTAATTGAAAAACATACTTGAAATTACAAAATGGACATATTATTTTGAAATGTAAGTACTTGATATCCACAAAATATTCTAAATTAAGATTTCCCTTCTCCTTTAGGCCTAAGTACTGAGCATATGTGTATAAATGGTGAAAATTATTTAATTTCTTGAAATTGTGTTCAGACAAATATGTATATTAGGATTATTTGTAAAACATTAATAAACCAAAATGTAACAGCAAATGGTGGCCAACCTGGAGAACCCAACAGTAATGTTCTTAATTATTTTAGATTCATTTTATATTCACAATTACACCAGTATATCTGATGACACAAAAAAAACAATAAGAACACAATGTGTTAAAAAATATTCTTATTTTGAGGTGTACATAATCTCTGTACACACCTTTAAATATGAGTTATAAAAACAAAAGTAAATAGCAAATCTATATACTTGATTATCATGAAGTGTAAATATGTTTATATACTTTTCTTAACAATTTTTTCTGTCGGTGGATTTTCATAGTATGCTCAGTAAATGCGAGAAAGGTTAGCATTCATTGAGAAATTGTTTTAGCAGCACTAAGTTTTTATTTGTCGATACACTAATTTTTTATCTCGCAAATGTTAAAAAAAACAAGCCTTATTCTAGTGTCCACGCGGCATAAAACCATGTGGAACTTAGCACTGACCTAGTCAAAAAACTACACAACGAAGCTCTAATTTCTGAGGCACTCACTTATCTCAAAACTGTGCAGATACCAAACAACTATATTCTGTACTAAACTGTTTAAGATTTGTAATGAACTATTCAAAATTTGTTAATAATCTAATGCAACATGGCGCGAATATAGCCAAATCATGGGCTGTCAAACAATCAGTGTGTGCCTGTATCTATTTTTTATGAAGGTACGCAAAAGAAACACAAGCTAATGCTATTAAAGTATGCATGGTATTGGCACTTTTAAAAAACTTTACAAAACACTACCTTTAATTTTGAATTTACTTAATAAATAGAGAAAAATTCGGTACTCACATGTGATCAAGATGGAAACTAATCCAAAAGAGGCAAAATGGGCATGCGTCCCAAGAAATAAACGGTTCCGTTTTGGTTTAGTGATGGGCGAAATTCATCGATATTACCTATTCGATGGTTGAAATCCTCACTCTCGATACTAACTTCCCGAAACATCGATATTATCCATCAAGACCACCCCAAAATACGTGGTTTGAAACTTTTTACACAATAACAATTTCAATATTATGTAAATTATAAATTACACATACTTAACTAAATTACTTCATATTGTTAAAACATATTTTCTAAAATATACCAAGCCTATACTTTATTTACATAGTAATTATTAAAATGTGTACATTAGCGTATTTCGAATAATAATTACTCTGCCATCGATGAGCATTACCCTGTGTTACGTATTTTGATTGTTTAAATTTTAAGTTAAAATGAATCGATAATAGTTAAATCATTAAAAATATCGATTGTTTATCCAAACTATAAACCAAGGGTAATGACATTGACGTTAGCGTTGGATATTCTATCCGTGTTCCGTTTTGATTGAACCTGCTCAAAAGCGCAAAATTCAAATTTACGAAACGGTAATGTTGATGTGTACATAAAATCACAATATTTGTGGAGGGAATTTTGACAATTAAATTATTTATGTATATATTAAAAATTGTTCTTTCTTTTTTCCTGTAAAGAGTCTGTTATAAACTAATCATACTGTAGCCAGCAAGTATTTCTTAATGAAAGAGGGTTTTATATTCTAGAGAATAGATGTTTTAAGTTGCTTAAAAGTTTTGTTTTTTAATCAGAATATTTATATAAAAAATAAAATAAATAGTGTGCAATAAAAAATATATTAAATTGAGTATATCGCTGCACAGAATATAATATTTCTCTAGTCTATAATAGTATTCGCACGCGAATAAAGTTCGCAATTGTGTATAAAAACACCAAATCCCTAGACCAAAACACAGGAAATGTATCAAATGTTTCTTTTTCTGTGCTTAAGTGTAAAATCTTTTTATTCTTGTTTTTAAAAATTAAATTTATATACTACTGAAGCTGAGTGACGATTCACTAAAGGCCATAAAAAAAGAACAAGAAATGTTGATATATGTTGTCATTTTTAATGTCAGTTATTAAAAGTATCAAAATAAATTTAAATATTAACCAAAAACATTATAGATAGATAAGAATTTGAAATGTATAGACCAGAATTATTTTGTCATAGTATATTTAGTGATATAAGGCATCAAGAGGACGTAGAACGTTTTGAATTCCTTCAGCTTCAACAAAAAGTTGCATCTCAATCTGATGATAGTTTTCAAGATGAAGATGTTAAACCTATAGTTAGTAGCTTATTGCAAATATAATGCATGTATATACCTGTTCCAGGAAAATGAAGCTACATCACAATATATGTATCCCTATGTCTGTATTATTCCACAGATGAATTCTCAGTGACTTATAACTCTCCTATTCTATGTTTAGAATCAGAAAGTTTAGTATGTATTTGCAAGTTCTTTATCCTTCTGAATTTTGTAATATATTATGGTACAGTTCAAAAATTGTTTTATATAGAGTTGTTCTCATTTACCAATAACGAAAGCTACTTATTTTTGAATAATTTTAGGTTTTTCAGTTCTCAATACCCAGAAGTTATTTCTATAATCTGGTTATGGTTGCATATATTTCATATGTCTCTTTAATTTTCTATTCCCAAATTTTTTAAACTGCCTCTTCCATTTGTACAAAATTATTAAGTTTATTAAATGTCTCGAGTATGTGTATTTTTGTTAGTATTAGAGTTATTTTTCTAATATTTATAACTGTTTTAATAAAATGTTTCTAGTTTTGTTTTTCTTAATGTTTCACACATTTCTTATTTCTTATTGATTTCTAAGACTATTTATTTATATTGTCTTTTTACTGGATTTTTTGTCAACATGTATTTCTGGCTGTTTTATGTTTATGCCTTTTCTCCATAATTATAAAATATTTTATGTAAGTCAGTCCTCTTTTACCTAATTTTCTAACAGAGATTCCCAATATCTACTTACTAAGCAGTTGTCAGTCAGAAAAGTTGGATGTCTTTGATTTTTTTTATTTTTGTATGAGTTCATATATTATAATGTTAAACAAAGGAAAATCACTCTTAACAACATCAGATCAGAGACATATAATACAAATAGACTGAGGGCTACAATACATTCCCTTTCCTCCAGTGTGACAGTAAAAACTGATAGAAAGCAGTCCTGGCATATATTTCTAATTTATCAGGTTTATCAACCACTTGACCTAAATGGCCAATGAGAAGGTCACATGGTCATTAAATCCTACCCATTAGAAAGAGATGCAGGGGCTGCTTTGTGTCAGTTTTCTCTGTCCAACTGGGGTATGGGAGCAGTCTGTCTATTTGTATTATATGATTTTTCTTCAGGTATTAATTAAATTTCTTTCTTTTGATTTTATCAAATGCCTTGTCTACAGCTACAAAGCTTTATTTTTGAAAACATTTCCATTATATAACTTTATTTACATAGAATTCATTTTAGATTAATAATATTGAGAATGAATCCCAGACTGATTTAAATGATTCAAGGAAAGGTAAACAGCAGAAATGTAATGTTTGTGACAAGGTTTTGTCTTCAGCTTCTAGCTACTATGTACATATGAAAAAGCATTCTAATAATAAACCTTATCAGTGCATACATTGTGATGCATCTTTTTGTAGGAAACCATATTTAGAGGTAATATTTTCTTTTAATTTAAATGTGTAAAATTTTTATGTGAAATACAGGTAATTATTTTTAAATCAAGTATATAAATACCAAAGTTCTAATGAAATAGGAAAAAGAAAATTTTATTAATATTGTTATGAATCACAATGCCCTAATTGCGGCCCTGGTGTAATAATAATAAGTTTTATTTATCGTAACAGTCATGATCTCTCACCTATTGTATTCAAATTATTGTATTGCTCTCTGGTACGCTCAGGTCTTAACCACTACTCTGTTGTCTGGTCACCATTTCATCAAGTACACATTGATGGATTGGAGAACGTTCAGAGGAAGTTTCTAAGATGTTTAGCTTTTAAAGCACATATTAATACAGTAGAACCTACTTAATTCGAACTTCGTTAATTCGAAATCTTCTTTAATTCGAATTTTTATTCTGGTCCCTAGCATTTCCTATATAAGTAATGTTAAAAAGTCGTGGATAATTCGAATTATATTTTGGATAATTCGAACTTTTCTACAAGTTAAAAATGTCAATTTCATGCTGGAAATTTCCGCTAAAAGAGGTATAATAGTATTCTTTTCTGTTCTAACGTGTCACTTGTTTCAAAGCCATTGTACATTGTACCTGTACCTGTCACCTCTTCTAGCCATCTGGCACGCCCCTTCAGTTGAGATGCGTTGGCGTTGCAATTGCAATCACCGCAAATCACGTCAAGTCACTTCATATTAAGTAAAGATGTCGTCGTGGGAATTCCTCCTAACACATTATCCATCTACTTAAAGAATAAAGAAAAAATTCTCAACAGTGAAAGTGAGTGCGGTAAAGATCGAAAAAGGTTAAGGGAGCCAGAAAATCCAAATTTAGACAGTTGTGTGTTAAAATGGTTCAAACAAGCTAGGGATAAGAAGATTCCCGTGAGTGGTCCCCTTATAAGAAGCAAAGCTGAACAATTTGCTATTGAAATGGGGAAAAACAATTTTAAGGCGAGTACAGGGTGGCTCGATGGCTTTAAAGAACGCAATCCATTTGTGGAGAAAGTGGGACCATTAATCAGCAAGAAGCCAGTGGAAAAAAAATTTGGAAGAGATGATTCAGGGTATAGATGAAAGAGATATCTTTAATGTTGACGAGACGGGTCTCTTTTTTAAATGCACTCCTGACAAAACGCTAGCATTTAAAAATGAAAAATGTCACGGAGGAAAACTAAGTAAAGAAAGAGTAACTCTCCTAATTGGTGCAAACATGGACGGATCAGAAAGACTGCCTCTACTGATGATTGGCAAGTCGGCTAATCCGCGTTGTTTTAAGAACGTCAAGTCAAAACCAGTGGAATATGTGAGCAGCGCAAGAGCTTGGATGACTAGTGATCTTTTCGAGAACTGGCTGAAAAAAATAGACAAAAAGTTCATAAAAGAAAAAAGAAAAGTTATTTTGTTTATTGACAATTGTACGGCACACACCACTATCCCACTGATGGAAAATGTAAGTTATTTTTTCCTGCTAACATGACTTCAGTTCTGCAGTCTATGGACCAGGGTGTCATAAAAATTTTTAAACATTTTTACAGACGTTTTTTGGTTGAAAACATATTGATGAAACATTGCGACACCCTTAAAATAAAGTTAGACATTCTACAAGCATCTCGAATGTGTAAGAAAGCTTGGGACCAAGTAACACCCGAAACGATCAAACACTGTTTCAAAAGAGCTGGTTTCATAAAAAAGGAGGAGAACACAGACGACAATTTAACAGAAGAGCTGCTTTCAGTTGACTGCTGGGGGTACATCATTTCTGATCCTGCCATCTCTTATGAAGATTTTGTCAACGTGGATGAAGATGTTGCAGTATGTGGTGAAATAACCGATACAGAGATCATCGCTGAAGTGCTTAAGGACAATGATGAAAAACAAGAGAGTGATGAAGACGACGCATCATCAGTTGCGGGAGAAATATATGTTCCGAGTGCGGCCGAAGCAACCCACCATATTACGCAACTTAAACGGTACTTTGAAAGTAAAAATGATGTAAGTCGCTCTATTTTTAGTTCACTGAACATCTTAGAATCGTTTGTCATTACCGAGACGTTAGATTCTAAAAAGCAGCTAAAAATTTTGGATTTCTTTAGAAAAAATTAGTCTATTTTCATTAATTGTAACAAATATGTATTCTTATTTTGAATAAATTTTTTGAGACAAAATGTTTTATTTTTTTAATGATGCGTTCTCACTGGGAATTTTTTATCTGCCGATTGTTTCGGCTAAGATTTGGCCAAAAATACCAATGAGAAAATCTGCAAATGATAAAAATCGACAATAATTGACCATTTGTTATAGCTTGCAAATGCTTTAATTAGTATTCTGGCCTAATTTTGTTGGCCCATTTTTTTCGGTTGACAAAATTCGGGCAAAAATAGTAACGAAAACATCTGCAAGCGATAAAAATGGTCAACTATTGTTGATTTTTATCATTTGTATATGTTTTTGTAGGCATCTTTGTTTTTTGTGGATATATTTTTAATTCGAACTTTGGATAATTCTGCAAACGATAAAATATTTCGATATCTCTGCAGAAAACATCTCCAAGCGATAAAATGGTCAACTATTGTTGATTTTTATCGTTTGCAGATGTTTTTGTAGGCATCTTTGTTTTTTTGTGGATAAATTTTTAATTCGAATTTTTGGGTAATTCGAATTTTTGGATAATTCGAATTTTTTTAACGGTCCCTTGAGGTTCGAATTATCCAAGTTCATTGTATAAAAAATACTGAAAATTATTTCATAGATTACTCTATAATAATGTCTCAATTTAACATTGCTACATTGAAGAACCGCAGGTTGAGAGCTGATGTTATTTTTGTTTAAAATTCCAAACAGTATTAATTGTCCCTCGTTATTAGCCAATGTACACTTAAACACTATACATAGAACTCGACACACTGCACTCTTTTATATTCCTTTTCATAGTAATTACTATTTAAATGGGAATAAGCCACAATTAAAGGTTAGAATATGTTTATTGACTTTTCAATTTCCACTTCGTAAATTGTTTTCATAGCACTGATTATGCTCGTCATTTTCCCTTGTCGAGAATGCTCAGCTCTTACAATGACCTCCTATTGGATCCTTTCTGCCCAAACATTTATGCTTTCAAAATACAACTGAAGAATCTGACTATTAATCTAAATAAGTCATACTTACTATATGATACTGATACTTTTTTTTTAATTCTTGTGATTTGATATACTGTTTTAATGTACAAATTTTAACTGTTTACTTGTTTCTTTGTTATTGTTTTGATGTTTATTGTACATGATCTTTACTTTTTACTATTTGTTGTATTTTATTGTAAATGGTTCTATCGTTGAAATAAATAAATAAAATAATGATATACTGTTTAAATCAATTAATTTTCTTATATAAGTCTTACTATTTTTTCAGGTTCACATGCGTACTCACACAGGAGAAAAGCCCTTTGAATGTAATTTATGTCAGAAACGATTTACCCAAAAATCTAGTCTTAATACTCACAAGCGAGCACATACAGGTTTACGGCCCTTTGCCTGCGACATATGCTTTAAGAAATTTTCTGTTAAGTCTTACCTAATAGCACACAAGTGGAGCCATGCTGCGTCAAATGGAATTGCATGCGCAATTTGCAATATGACGTTCAACAACAAAAATTTATATATGATTCATACACAAACTCATAATTCGGTAGTGTTTGGATGTGATGATTGCCATAAAATTTTCGCAAAGGAATCGTTTTTGATTAGGCATAAAACTAGGGTACATAACAAACCTGCTGCAGAAGAAAATAGCTAAATGTTTGTAAAATTCATGTAGGATTTTTCCTGCTGGTTTTATTGCACGTTATTCATTGATTATTAAACTATACTCTTATGACTGGTCTAATCATCCGAATAATAGAGTATTTATAGAGATTAAAAATCTGAATAAAGTATAATATAAAAATGTAAATAGGTTTAATGGTCAATGTGATTGAAATGTTGATTTAATAATATATTTGGTATTCATATATATTCATTTCCAAAGCCTTCTTTGAGTCGTGACTCATTGTTATATTTTGGTTATGTCCAGAATTATTGCATGCAATGCTAAGCAAATTTGACAATGGCCAAGATTACATTCAGCCAAACTTGAAAAATTATAAAATTAAGTGGTGTTTTATTGAAATTTACATTAAATTACAAAAAATTTGTTTTGTGTTTACTTGGTTATCACGGATCTACACTTTTTATTTTCCACGATGGTAGACCTTATTCAAATAACCAGTCACTTTGCAAATACAGACACAAGAAACAAACAATTACATCTGTACATGTACAATGGTTACTGACAAGTAGTTACGCTATTGACACTAAGTCGTAATGAGGTTAAACCCTTTAACGCGCAAAATTATTTTTTTGCTAAACTGAGTTGAAAAGTGCATTTTTACACAAAAATATGGACACTAAATAGTAAAAATTTTTGTATTTTTAGATGGTTGATTTTTCTGTAAAAATGTGGTAAACCATTGTACCGTTCCCGTCATAAAAAACTGGTACAACTCTTATAATTAAAAATCGTGTATTTTAAGTTGTGTACGTTGATCTTGTCAGATGTGTCATTCTGATTTCTAGGGCACCGTTGCCAGTTCAACGAAAATATTATATAAAACCAGATAAAAGCAAGGCAGTTTTGAGTGTACTAAAAACTAAAACATTATCGAGCATTCTCGATTAGTCAGTCACATTAAATTTGTTTAAACATGCATTCTAAAAAATTCTCATATTAATTTTGTAATTTTCCATCATCTCAGTTAAATACCCATACATTGATTTGTGTTTTATAACAATTTATGAAAATATTTCAATTCAAAAATAATGACAGATAGACAAACTTCAAATTATTATAATAAAACATTACAATGAGATATTGGATTGTAACTGTTACGTTTTGAAAAGCGTTTTTTCGCACCGAATATTTTCTAGTATATAATACGTAGGATAAAGTATAATGTTAGTTTTTCACAGTTTTTATCGTTCTTTTAATAAATAATAAATTAAACTTGGTAGTTTGCTGTTACAAAACTTATTGACACAGAATACAGTTCGAGTTCTTTCGAAGATCGAGTACAAGATCTTTCCAACATTTTGGATAATAACTCAACCCCATCTCTGCTTATTTAATTTCTTAGATTCAGTTTTTTTTGGTAATGATAAAAATAAAACCTATCTAAAAATTTTATACATTTGTGAACGTTATATTTTTATTTAGATTTAGTGCAATTCCGTTATCTGTACTTGTACTGGCAACAACGAATTGATTTCTGAACACAGGTTTACATTGAGAAAAAAAAGTGTACCAGTTTTATATGAGGGGAAGTGTACCAGGGAGCATTAAAGAAAAAAATCCTGAAAGTTCTCTGGTATACCGAAACCATTTAATATTATTTATTATAAAAATACAAACAGTATCAAATCAAAACATCTAAATAAAGCAATATATATTTTAAATTTCTTAAGTGTTATGGTATGGCCCAAAACATTCCACACATAAAGCTACATCACAGACATGGCATTTATAATTACTACGCTTCTGGATTCCCCGTTTGGAACATTCTTGACACCTCCTTTTGGTTGTTTTAACTGGAACGTGCGTAACGTTTCCAAAATCATTTCTGTATAGTTGTAGATCCTGGCCGTTTTCTGGCCTTATAATTTCCTATGAACAGATCCGCTAATTTGCTGCTAAAGTCCAGGTGGCTACAAGACTTTTTTCGTGGATTCGTTTTTTTAGATCCTCTCTATAAACTATATAAGCATTCACAATACATGCATATATAAAGTAATATAGAAGTTTCATCCGCCATCTACTTTTCCAACAAACGGAATAATCTGCCATTCTTTGTTCAAAGCGGTCAACAGCGGCCATATATTTGTTGTAATCAAACATAGAAAATGGACACTCAATAACTTCTCTCTCTCATTTTTTAACCGTGCGAAGAACGTGTCCAGTTTCAACAGCATTATGCATATTTGGTATATCTTTATTTTTGACTCTATCTTTCCATTTGGTAATAGATACCTCATCAGACACTGCAAAGTTTATTTGTTCCATCGCCAGTTTTTTGTCTTCTTTTAATTTCTCTTGTGGTACATATTTTCTAGATTATCTAATTGTTCCACAACCAAAAAGAGATCTTTTAATTTTTCCCTAAGGGGTATAGTGGTATAGAAATTATCGAAATAAATACAATATCCCTGACCAAAGAAATCTTCAACTAAATTTAAAACAACACGTTCTCCTAAAGTATCATTTGTCGTCGTTTCTTCTTTACCTTGGTATATTACAAATGCAAATAAATAGCAGTTTCTGAACAAGCCAAAGCCCAAATCTTTATTCCTCTCTTTATTGGCTTCATGGGCATATATTGTTTTAGACTAGTACGCCCTTTAAAAGCAATCATGCTTTCGTCTACTGCAACATTTCAGCTTGGTTTAAACGATCGGCAAAATGTACTAGAGCCGTGTTCAATGAGTGGACGCACTTTATCATAAGCTGTGGATCCACGGGGCGGCATGTTGTGATTGTCATTTAGTTGCAAAAGTAAGTCATTTTGTTCGGCATATATATTTGATTGTTGAACAAAAAAGTTCATAAACTCAGATGTTAAAAGTTTTTCAAAAAAACCTCTTAGGGGGGACGGCAGTCTTAGTCCAAGAAGAAAATGGTTCAGTAGTATTTTCTACCTCTTCGTCCCATTCTTTACTTTCAAAGGAAACCAGTGAAAGCTGTGAAGGAAGCATGAAATTATGATCGTCCACTGAATCATCGGAATCCAAGTCACCTTCTATATTATCCTCTGATAAATTCAAGTTAATCTTTCGTTTTGAAGGTAGCTGTGGTGTAGAAGTGCCTGAGAATGTAGGTGTACATAAAGATGATCTATTATTAGTTGTATCGGATACTTCGCCTAAATCATCATCAGTAATTCCCTCCAATTCTTCTAACAGTTCCGCTGGTGTTAAGGGCTTTTTCCAAACCCATGTTGAAAAACTTCGCTTTTCTTCCATAATTTTTAACAGTCCTGGAAAATAAATGCAAATATAAAAAAATTATTTATATTATTTTACCTATATTTATTTTTGTGAACCCTCTTTTAACCGCCTTAGGACGACACTGAAAACTAATTAGTATTGAAGTTTTGTCATTTTATAGAAAAAGGTACGAGAAAGTATAAATTTGATTAGCAATTTGACAAAATAAACGATCAAGTAGGTACATATTTCTTTAAAATCTTACATACAAATTTCAACTGTTTTTTGAAAAATGCAAAAATTTTCCCTACCAACAAAAAATTTAAGTTTCAAATGCAAAAAACAAATCTAAGGAATATAGAGATTAACACTTTGTACTTAAAAATCACAAACTGTTTTTAAATTATTTGAAAAGAAAAATTATATTTTGTATAATTTTTTTCCCAAAAGAAAATTTCATTTGAATACCTCGTTTTTTTTAATATTAAATTTTTTTTAAATATGCTTTCAAGAAATGTACAGTTTAACCATATTTTAAATGAACTTACTTGTGTTTGGGGAAAAATTTTAGCTAAACTTCAGTAGACACAAACACCGTCCCCACTCTAATTTAAATATTAGCAGCATTTAGGTTCACTGATCCATCTGGAAATACTTGGTACTACAGATACACTAGTGAGCGTTAAGGGTTAAAGTGTAAGTGGACTTGTCGACTTTTAAGTCAACAAAATCCAATTTGTGCGCTGGTTCTTCAGATTTGGCGTCCACTGTAATGTATAAAAAATTTTATTATTAGAGGTAGTGGATTATCTAAACGGCTATGACTCATGCATGCATAAAGTACAAATTTACGCTTCGATCGTACCTACAAATTAACAAACTTTGAACGACCCGACCCCAAGATATTTTCAAGGTCATATCTGTTTAGAAAATCCACAAGCTCTAATAACTAAACGATATTCGACGTTTTCCAACTTTTCAAAAAACACTTGTTTTTTGCGAATATGAATACATTGTTATTTTTGCTGGTAATTTTGACAGTCGTCATGTGCTGGATGGCAGATCTCAAAATTGAGAGTAATTTGTTTTCACTTAACGAACGCGTTCTGTCGAAGGCTAGATTGATGTCTATTAGTGCCCCCGAATCTTTTTACAAACTTGTAATCACGCCTATCCAGATCTAATCATTCGAATTAGATTATTTATGATTTATGTATATATCTACTGTAGATTTTAAATTATTAAGTGAGAGAAAGTAGAATTTGTTATTTATGTGGAGATACAATCTTGTCTGTGGTAACGTGCAATACAATTAGTAGGGAAAATAAATATGTGGTAGTTTGTTTAATGAGTACTGTACTGGATACTAACTTTAGATTTAAGGTTATTTATTTTGGACTGTTTATTTATAAAAATAAATGTTATTATGAGTATTTATAAATAGGACGTAGTAGTAGTATATAAGTAGTATAATCTTGATTTTATAAAAGTTAATTTTATTAAAGCTATTTGATATTTTGTAATGACATCCAATATTAAGTTTGACTATCTCGTTAAAACATATTTCAAAGGACTAATAAAAAGCTACTACATCACACGAATTTTTCTTGCCAGTTTCTAATGCCTGGTTGCACCAATAGATCTTAAGCTCCAGCTTAGCCAAGCTCTGCTTATAGCTAGGGCTGTCTTAACTCTCACTTACGTTGCACCATAATTTTCGATTCTAAAATATTCTTTATATTCTTAAAAATAAAAATACAAAATTTATTTGATCGCCGTCGG